AAACCAACAGGTTGGATGTGACAGTTCACTGCACGAGTAATAAAAGAAGCAGACATGTAAAATATGTCTAGCCTGGCTGCACTGACGCCCCCATCTAGCATTCTCATCCAGGTGTATTGTTTAACAGAGGGGTGCTTCGTCCTCCACACATCCACTAAGTCAGCCTCTCTTATCACCTGTGACAGTCAAAAGGACGACTGAGGATGTCTAAAGTGACATTAGAGCAAGCATTCCAGTCCCCCCCCCCAGTATAACACACTCCCCCTGTACACTAGTGTCTAGCTTGTCTTTTAATAACTGAAACACAGATACACGTGCGGGGCCCGGATTGGGTGCATAAACATTACTAAAAGTGAAAAATAACTCTAACAGTTCCACTTTCACCATCAAGGCTCTACCTGCCACTATCTCTGTGCTGGATACAATCTTAACATTTAGAGACGGGGAGAAAAAAACAGCTACTCCAGCACTAAGGTTTGAGCCATGACTGAGTACATACTGACCCCCCCCACCACATTCCCCAGTCCGTCTCATTCAGGCTATCACTGTGCGTTTCCTGCAGAAATATTACATCTAATTTTTTCTGATTAAAGACCTCTAACACTAAAGCTCTTTTCTGTGCACTTCTACCCCCGTTAATGTTTAAAGAAGCAACCCTTAAAGCCTGCATTAGAGGAAGGAGATAGAGAAAAAGAACAGACAGGTACACACAGCAGAGAGGAGACACCCAGTGTTGCATGATCAAGTTGAAATTATTTAGACCTTTTCAGTTTCCCCCCCTTTTTTGCTTCCTTTCGTAACTTTTTTCATAGTAGTTACATGCTTCCTGAGACGATAGCATCTCTTTTCATCCAGCAGGTCTAACCCTACAACTTTCTGAAGAGTGCTCACTGTATGAAGAAACTTGTTAGTGTCAGGGAAAAAGTCTCTCACTTCCACTGCCTTGCCAAAGGACTCATCTAAAAAGACATTAATCTCTTCCAAAGAATATATCTCTGCGTTCTGAGAGAGACTATCTGCAACTGAAACACAGTCGGAATCCCCCTCACCAACACACTCTCACTCCCTAAGCGTCCAGGAGCGACGTTTGGTCAGCGTCCGTGGCGTCTAGTTGTGACGCTCCTAGGCTCCTTCAGCGTCATAAAGGGACGCAAATAGCTTTCAACTGATTGCAATGCATTCCCATCTCGGCGGGATTTGACGCTCATGGAAGCACGGCATTCGTTTGTGTCGGCTGCCCTTAAAGATCAAATGCAAAGCTTCCAAATATGCTACATTTTTATAGAAATGTTGTTTTTAAGACTGCCTGTATTTTTTATTTAATTTAAATCGAGATAATACACCCGAAAAAAAGCTTTTTATTGATACAGAACTCGACCCAAAGCCGTCTGAATTTCTGACATGTCATTCCCAGCAGCCTCCGCGCGCGTGACGTCATTGTGGCCAAACAGTCTCTGGGCCAAATATCCCGACTCGGCAGTCTCGTGCGCTGTTCACATGTCAGCGGTGTTTTTCGCTCATGACTGGTGCAGAAAACTCTGAATTATATCCGCGAAATCACGCAAAACATGGGTTATTGTTGTGCTTTCGGATGTACGAACGGTGTGGGATCTGGGAGAATTTTTCATTCATTTCCCCAAGACAAAATCATCCGCCGAAACTGGATTATTTGAGTGAATTGTGTTGGCTGGCAGCCGACAAAATGGAGCAAGTTGTGCTCTGACCACTTCGCGTCTGATGCATACGATGTTGATCCTGCCATCGTCAAGTCTGTTGGTGGAGAAGCATTTAAAGTACATCGGAGGCTGAAACCCGGAGCCGTCCCCTCCATATTTGAGCACAAAAATCAACCGAAAGAACGAAAGAGCCGGGCAATGCAGAAACGCCAAAGAATTGAGGTCAACAAATTTTGATTTGATTTCAAAGCGCACGGAGCACAGAGCGGACAGCAGATAACGGAATTGCAGTTTTATTGCTTATAGATTATCAGTACATTTCAAAGGGGACACAGCCCCATTGGATATTAACCTATGGATTAACTACATCATCGTTTTTATCGTTTTAATGCCATTTTAGACCAGACAAAGAGGAAGGTAAGCCTAGCTCATGTTAGTACCTAGCGCCACTGTCAAATTAATCGACAGTAAGGGGAATACTTACTTCCGGGTGTACAATTCTCCGTTATCCAATGGGAATGCCGTGCTTCCATGTGCGTCAAATCCCGCCGCAGATGGGAATACATTGCAATCAGTTGAAAGCTATTTGCGTCCCTTTATGACGCTGAAGGAGCCTAGGAGCGTCACAACTGGACGCCACAGACACTGACCAAACGTCGCTCCTGGACGCTTAGGGAGTGAGAGTGTGTTGCCCTCACCGTCTGTGTCCATCTCTGTCACCTCATTGTTGTCTGCAGCCTGTTGAAGCTCTTTTTGCCGCCCAGAACCAGACGGCAGCTCCTGCTGCGTGCCAACAGCCTCCACCTGTCCCACAGCCCCGGTCCTCACCTGTCCCGCTACATCATCTCCCACCCGTTTACCTGTTTCCACATTTTTTCCTCTCACACTCACCACACTCTCTACAATCCCTGTTTCATCTCTCACGATATTCATCCCTACTTCATCCGCAGCCAGGGCTCAGCCGCACCCGGCAGAGCGGCATGCAACATGTTTGTGACCCGACTCCCCGCACTCAAAACACTTTACGTTCCCTGAGCTCGCATAAACCATATAAAAACCCTCTTCGTGCCTCACCCAGAAAGACACATCCAGTGTCTGAGTAGGACAATTCAGAAACATGAAAACCTGTCTCCGCAGAGATTGGACATGTTTTAGCTTTTCATCCTTACACCCCAGAGCAACAGTGCGGAGATTACTGGCAAATTTACCGAAACGCTTCAGCTCCCGTTCCAGCGCCTCATTCGGGATGAACGGAGGAACGCCAGACACAGTGATCCGCGTGGACGGTGTCGCCAGCGGTGACACTTGAATATATTCCTCGTTTAACATTAATCCGCTCTCAATAAGTATATCAAGTATACGATCAGGTAGATCTTCATCTAGAATGGACATAATAAATGAAATATTTCTAATTTTATATAAAATGCAAATCAAAGGCTTAGCAACTCGTTTCATCTGGGTTCCTGCTCATGTTGGTGTGGAGGGAAATGAACAGGTGGATATTCTGGCCAAACAAACACTCAGAAGTATGAACATAGACATAGAAGTTCCACTCAGCAAAGCGGAGGTTAAAACATTCATACAGAAATATCCAGAAACAACATGACAAGATCATTGGGACCTTAATGATACAGGAAGACATCTTTATAAAATGCAAAGGTATGTGGGGGATGGAAGGAAGGTGGGGTTTAAAAGAAGGGAGGAAAATGTCATTTCTCGGATGAGAATAGGTCATACAGGTCTCAATCATACTTTAAGTATAATACAGGTCTCAATCATACTTTAAGTATAATACAGGTCTCAATCATACTTTAAGTATAATACAGGTCTCAATCATACTTTAAGTATAATACAGGTCTCAATCATACTTTAAGTATAATACAGGTCTCAATCATACTTTAAGTATAATACAGGTCTCAATCATACTTTAAGTATAATAGGAAAGCATCCAACCGGAAAGTGTATACACTGTAGCCAGTCAGAAACTGTTGAGCATATTTTACTGCTTTGCAGGAAATATAGTACTCAGAGAAATGTGCTTTTCCAGACACTGAAGAAAGCAACATTCCATGACTTGTCGCTATCAGGGCTGTTAGGGAAAACATCAGGCAATATATATTGTGAGATTATTAAATTTCTAAGAGAAATTGATACATTTCAAATAATCTTTGGTTATTTGTTTTCTTTTGTTTATTGTTTTCTGCATAGTCTCTTGTCCACACTCCAGTCCAGTTGGTGGCGATAATGTACCTACAAGTTGGTTTGCCAACCGCCAATAAACACGGAAGAAGAAGAAGAAGAAGAAGAAGAAGAAGAAGAAGAAGAAGAAGAAAAAGAAGAAGAAAAAGAGGTGAGTGGATTAAACACACGCAGAGGTTTCATTACGTGTATTTACACCTGTTAGCTTAGCTTACAGTTAATCACGAATCAGAAGTTATCTTATTTAACACAGCTGTAATATTGGAAGAAAGAAACTCACAAAAAAACGTTAATATGTGCGCCACAAATAGTCTCAAATTATCTTTAAATAAAGGCTAAAAGCTATTGGATAACAGCTCAAGTCTAAAAGCCATCGGCTAACAGCTAAAATCTTAAAGTCTAACAGCTAAAGTCTTAAAGTCTAACAGCTGAAGTCTAACAGCTAACGGCTAACAGCTACAGTTATTATTCCAGTTCGGCTCTGGGTGAGTAACAGTTGATTTGTAATGCTAAGCTGACTTTATTTTAGTTATTTATTACACCAGTTGTCTTTAAGACAGTTTGAGTTGTTGTGTTGGTGCTCTTTACCATAGATATAGTTTTAAATATATGCTTATTCGCATCGCCATTCTGTGACGCAGCATTTTCCCCATTGAAATTAATGGAGTTCTTCAGTTAGCAGCTAACGCTAAGCTAAGCGACGGTTTAGCTCATTAGATAAATAGATATACTTTATTTAAATAAGTATTTACCTTAAACTGAGAAATGATTGTGTCACAGCAGAAGTGTTTTCAGGCATTACACAAGTTAAGCATATTTAAAAGATACAATAAGATATAATAAAAATGAAGCATTAGCAGCAAGTTTACACACGGGACACATATCACTAGAGTATCTAAAGAATACACAATATACAGAAAATACTGAATACATGGAGTACATTAAACAGTCTTACTTGCTAATGTTTGCTTTCTCTGTTCCCAGAGAGGACCTGAAGCAGCTCTGTGGTCTTCATCAGGACCCAGTGTTCCCAGAGAGGACCTGAAGCAGCTCTGTGGTCTTCATCAGGACCCAGTGTCCCCAGAGAGGACCTGAAGCAGCTCTGTGGTCTTCATCAGGACCCAGTGTTCCCAGAGAGGACCTGAAGCAGCTCTGTGGTCTTCATCAGGACCCAGTGTTCCCAGAGAGGACCTGAAGCAGCTCTGTGGTCTTCATCAGGACCCAGTGTTCCCAGAGAGGACCTGAAGCAGCTCTGTGGTCTTCATCAGGACCCAGTGTTCCCAGAGAGGACCTGAAGCAGTTCTGTGGTCTTCATCAGGACCCAGTGTTCCCAGAGAGGACCTGAAGCAGCTCTGTGGTCTTCTCAGTGTTTCCAGCTTAAAAGCAGGTAGGTGTGTGTGTGTGATACCTTAATAATTACTTTCTCAAACATTATTTATCCCACAGTATATTCATAAGTTATATGCATACCGTTTAGTTTGAGTAAACGCTCCCCTTTTACCTTCAGCATATTGTTTTAGTACGGTAACTCTTCTTTATTACCGTTAGCATACTGGTTTCTGTTGGGTAACTCCTTTATGTTACAGGATGAATCCTCAGTTTATTGACTTGTTGTTTCTAGTCTCCTCCTGACTTACTGAGTCCTGGAGCTGTGAGTTTCTCCTCTTCAGTGGAGCAGCTTTATTACTGTCTCCTATTGTTGCAGACAAAGTAGCATTACATGGAAATATTCAAGTAAAGTAAAAGTACCTCTAAATAGTACTTAAGTACAGTACTTGAGTAAATGTACTTAGTTACTTCTCACCTCTGCTATGAACCTACGAAGTAGCTGTAGATTAGTGTTGTTGTGTCTGTTGGTTGTATTGAGTTGTCTTGTTTTGTGTCAGCTGTAGTTGTGTTGATTATTTCAGAGACCCATCCGGAGAAGGAGAACTGAGAGCAGCATGGAGGAGAACAAAGAGACCCCTGGAGCTCAGGTCAGTGTGCACTTCATCACAATATATTCCTAATTCCAGCGTTTCCGCCAGGCGGGCGTCTTGCCGTCATTTGACGCCCTTATTCAGCTCGGAACGCCCTGAACTCGAGCCGAGGGCGTCCAAAAGAGTTTTTATCGCTTGAAATGAGGAAAAAGGAGAAGGACATCGCTCTGTTGGAGGGGCAAAGGAGTCTGGTGGGATTCTTTTCACCGCCAGCAAAGCGTGTTCCTGTGCTAGTGGAGCACGCGCGTGAACTGCGACCGCCGGAGCCTCGCAGCGGCGAAACTGAGGCTCTGGTAAACTGTGGTAACATGAAGAGCCGTTTGGGAGTCGAAAGAGCCGGCTCTTCTTAGTGAGCCGAGCCAAATGATCCAACTCACTAAAAAGAGCTGGGATTCCCATCACTAATACGTAAAGAGATGGTATCTATAAGGGATGGCTCAATTCAAAATTCAAGTCCAGGGTTTCCCTCACATAGACTTTACTTGGGCCGCCCAGGTTTAACGGCCACCAAAGTACATTTCCCGACCCATTCATTATTATTTTTGTATCCGTCCGCGAGCACGACGCCATCTGCAATCGATTTACTAGTGGACAATGATTCCTCGCTTGCTGTACCTGTTCGCTCTGCTATCGCGTGGAGGGTCTGCCAACAAGCAGCCAACAGAAAGGTTCATGTTAATGTTGTTGCACCTCACGAATGCCTAACACTGTTATCCCCAAATGAAAGATCACAACCTGTTTGAAATATACAATATGAATGCACAATATGGTTAGATAGAGGTTAGAACGTTGTTGTCTACGATTCTTTAATTGTCAGATCAAGTCTGAAATGTGACTTGCATCACAGCAGCTCCATGTGTAACATCAACATAGACACATAAGACAAACACAATACATGAGAAACAAACAACTAACATAACAGCAGGATCAGTGAGAGCTGCTCAAAGAGCCTTCAGCGTGCATCTGATCTGTAGCTCAGTGTTCACTGAGAGGACTGACTGGAGCACAAAGGATGCTTCAGGCTGACTTTAGTGAATCTCCATTAGATGGTAGCAGTTCAGATTCTCTGTTAGAGCATGCTTTGGGTCCCAGATGATGCTGTTGGACAGCCTCTCAGGTTATTATGGTCTGTGAGTCAGAAAGTCTCTGACAGGGTGACCAACAATCTTTGAGCAGATTTCTAACAGGTGGAGCAGTTTTGCCGAAGTAACAACATGCTGATACCGGTTAGTAAAAACCATGAATTAATGCTTTGACAAGTCTGCAGACAGACGGCAGGCGAGAAACCTTTTAAAATGCGTGTCCCTTTTATAGATACTGTATTTTTACATTAGTGAGCCGGATCGTTTGGCTCGGCGCTCTTTAAGCGCCGGCTGTTTCGGCTCCCAAACGGCTCTTCATGTTACCACAATTTACCACGGAGCCTCAGTTTCGCCGTGGCGAGGCTCTGGTGCTCACGTGCGTGCTCCACTAAAACCCCCCCCCGCTCATCGCGTCCAAATCGCGCACGTTCCGTGTTGTCCTGTAGCAGGCACCTTCGATGTCGGGGAATCAATCTTCAATACTCCGAAAATAATCCCACCAGACTCCTTTGCCCCTCCAACCGAGGGATGTCCTTTTTCCTTTTCGTCATTTCAAGCGATAAAAACTCTCGATCTTCTCTCTAATTATTAATATTTTTAGACGCCCTCGGCTCGCGTTCAGGGCGTCCCGAGCTGAATAAGGGCGTCAAATGACGGCAAGACGGCCCCCTGGCGGAAACGCTGGATCTGAGGCCATACAATGAAAAACATCTTGGAAAAGTCCTGTTGGAATAATATCAAGGCAGCAGGAGGAGGATTTTAGATGTTGTATAATGTCCTCTAGGTTTTTATCATTAATATGATGGAATTGTGTCATGGTGTTTGAATTGATGTTAAGTGGACACAGAGACAACACATTTGCTGTACCTGATGCAGAGGCACTGACTGCTTGTCTGATTCTCTGAATGTTGTCAGTGAAGAAGGCAAAATCATTGCAGGCCCTGGTGGATAGAAGCTCAGAGGCTACTGCCACTGGGGGGTTAGTTAGTCTGTCGACGGTAGCGAACAAGGCACATGCGTTGTTTTTGTTTTTGGCAATGATATCAGAGAAGAAAGACTGTCGGTCAATTTTCAATTCCAAATTATAAAAGCCAAGTCTCTCTTTATAGATTTCAAAGTGAACCTGGAGATTTGTTTTTCTCCACCTACGTTCAGCTTTTCAACACTCTTTTTTCTGTTCTCACGGTCATGGCCTTTCTCCATGGAGATATTTTCTTGCCAGTCACTTCCTTTACCTTAGTTGGAGCAATGGCATCTATAACATTTTTATTTTTGAATTAAAATGATCTACTAGCTCATTTACTGAGATGTTAGCAGGGGCAAGTGTGGAAGAAACATTCAGAGTAAACATTTCCCTAGTATTTTCAGTTAAATATCGCTTTGTGGTTACCTCTTTTTGAACATTTGTGTGAACAGAAATAGAGCTCTCAAAGGAATGATCAGAGAGCGCAACATCAGTCACCATAACCTCAAAGATATTCAGACCCTTTGAGATCATTAAGTCCAGAGTGTGCCCCTTATTGTGCGTGGGCTCCGTCACATGCTGAGTCAGTCCATAGTTATCAAGACAGCCCCTCTGTCCTGGGGGTTGTCAACATGGATGTTAAAATCACCAACACTGACTAGATGGTCAAAGTCAAAACACACTATAGACAGCAGCTCAGTAAAGTCATCAAAAGAAGCTAAGAGCACAGCTGAACTCCCGCAGCCCTGGGGGGACCCTACATTGGTTGTGATGGCAGATGACAGGGTTTTGTTAACCTTCACAAGTTGCTCTCTACTGGTGAGGAAAGCGGCATACCAGTAAATCAGGTATGGATTTACTTCAGTTTTGGCCATTTTTGACACCAAGATGTCTGCTTGTATTGTGTTGCTGCTGAGAAGTCTAGGAAGAGGGCTCTTGCATAGGTGTGACGTTTATCTAAATGTTTAACCAGAGTAGCAACAGTACCACCCCCTTGCTTATAGGCAAATTGGTATGGATCAAGTATGTCTTGTCCGTCACAATAGGTTTAGCTGAAGAGGTCATTCCTGTCATGGTTCTCAAGGTGTCCCACACTTTTTTGGAGTCTTTGGCTTTAAAAGCATTTCCCAAAAGCTCTCTGTGTTTTGATTCCCTCAATTTGACTTTCAGTTCTTTCTCTGTCTAAGTGCTCCCATAGCCATTTTCCTGGTTTTTATAACTTGTTTTAATGTCCTTAGTCACATATGATTCATTACTTGGATAGATTTGTATTTCTTTAGTGGGAACACAGAAGTTAATATAGTCTTTAGGGATGCTCCGATCGATCGGTCACCGATCAAGATCGACCGATACTCACTCTCTACCGATCGATCGGTGCTCTCTAAACATGCCGATCGCGAGAGCCGATCGCATGACGTAAAATACATGACACTTTTCTCTGTTTGCGGCAAAACAAGCTCGCCAACATGGCTTCACCGGTCTGGCAGTATTTTAAGGTGTCCGAAAAAGACAGTAAAATAGCGGTATGCAACGTGAAGCAGAAATCCTGCAGCTCCGCCCGCCGCACCGGTAAGCGGAGCAACACACAAGAGTTAGACCTAACACACTTAGCTATTTGATCTACCTCTAGAACAAGCTACACTAGATATACTAGGGCTGTGCGATTATGGCAAAAATCATAATCACGATTATTTGGGTCAATAATTGATATCACGATTATTTTGACGATTATTCATTGACCATTTATTGAACTTTAAAACAAATAATATTTTACCAATAAACAAGAACAAATGTGTTGGAGCGCACTTCCAAAACCATACTAAACATATATTATTAATATGATAAATAAAAATAAATTAGACCCAAAAAAATGAAATCAAATATGATGCAGTGCACTGTCACAACCTACTGAACACTCCTTAACATATAGCCAACATGTTGGTAAAACATATTCAACATATTCCACTCAGTTAAACGTTGAAGGCTGGCCAACCGTCATGATCCAGAAGTAACAGGAAATAAATGTTGAACTACAATTTAAGACCAAATAAAAATGTCTAGGCCACCATGGCAAATGCTGGTAGGGCTGCTCATGTCATCTCTTAAAGATGTTTTGCAAGAAACACCAGCCTGTTGACATGGTCTGGTTTCAGAGAAGAGCGCAGGCAGGTGACAATATTGCCACCTGTACTGAAGACCCTCTGCCACGCCCCGACACATGGGGTGACGCCGGCCAATCACAAAGCTTTGATGCGTTCAAGTGCATTATTCTGGTACATGAAGATTATGTTATAGGACATTAACGATAAAACAGAATATTGTTGTTCTATTTTTAGACACATCTCGCGATCGACTGGTTGGGCACCCCTGGGCTAGACCATAGGTCCGTTGTGGTGGCAAAGTAGTCAGCTGAAGCCACATCTCTCTCAACTTCCCCGCAGCATTTGTCATATAGCGCAGGCAGCGCAGACCTGCTGAAATAATACGGCATCGCGTAACGCTTGTCCAACGTGTTGACAAGTTGCTTAAAGCCCTGGTTGCTAACAGTGCTAACTGGGCACATATCTTTAGCGATGTGAAATGTAATGGCACCTGTAATATCTCTGTGTCTCTGCGAGCTCGTTGCGTAGGCCGTTGCTCTGTACAATGCGTCCTGAATCGATGACTGTGATGATGTTGTGGATGAAGTCGAGCGGGCATCTGCTTTTTGTTGTATTATTGCCCGGTCGTATTGCACTTTGTGGTTGTATTTCAGATGATTAAAGAGATTGGTTGTGTTAGCGTGTGGTGCCAACACAACCTGGTAACAAATCCTGCACTGTACTTTCTTTTGCTCCACGTCGGACTCCTGAAAGCCAAAGTACTTCCAAATAGTGGAAATAGTTGTACCCTTCTTTTTAACGAGTTGCTGCTCTTGTTCTGACATCTTCGCTCGCGCTGAACACTCACAA